AGTGAAGGGATCAGCAGTACGAATATATATATATATATATATATATATATTTAGAGTTGCATGGTTTAGGGATTTTCCTTTTGTGCTTCCCTTCTCCTTGCGCTTGAGAAAGACAATGTATATTTCTTTGCCTTTTTCACCTTTACTTTGGATTCGACTACGCAATGACATAAATTCTGATAACAGAGAAGGAAACCCCACAGACAATATTAAAATAAAAGAGGGGGGGGGGGGGGGGTGTGCTAAGTACATTAGAGACGAGACATATGAGTTTGCAGCTTTGATTCTCTCTCTTTCTTTCTCTTTCCGCTCTCTTTCTTATATCTTTCTCTCTGCTCCCCCACATACGCACTCTCTCTCTCTCTCTCTCTCTCTCTTAACAAATGAGGCCCTCCAACCACACGATAGGAACCATAAAGACTGAAAATAAATTTGTGTACTTTGGAATAGTATTTGTCTCACGCGTTTTCCTTGAAATCTATGTTCATAAGCTTGGCGTATTACTGTTTTAAGAAATTGTCATTACGTAATTCATGCAGTACACCACTGTTCCATTAGCTCATGGAATACTGTTCCGCATTTTTCTTCATTTTTCTTCATCATTTATAAAACAATTATATTAATAATTTTTTGTTTATTTTCTTCATTTGATATATAATATTTAATTAAGTTTGTTTGTTTCCATAGATACACACATTTTTCATGTATAGAAATCTACATACATATCTGTAGTTTTTTTTTTTTTCCTTGACATGAATTTCATTAAAAAGCCAAAACACAAAACCCATTTTGCAGTAGGGTATAAACCAACAAATTTCTATTCTTGTTTCTACTTTCTTGTATAAGACATGACTCAGTGGTTGACAGGTCTCATCGAGGGGGTGCACCTTTTTTTCTTTTTGTAATAATTGAGGGGGGGGAACACTATTTGAGTAACTATATTGATAACGGTTTTGTATTTGTTTTAGGTTATAGAGATGTCATTTCAAAAGAATTTACTAACATCAGTGGGAAAAAAATAATAATTAGGATCATATCCAGTCACTGCTTACACTGAACACGTACTAGTTACAAAAAAAAGAAGATAAAAATTGCATCATTTGCAAGTAACCTGGGTTGATTAAAGTAAGATGTACTTTTAGATCCGTACTTGTTTTTTTTTTTTTGTGGCGGAAAAATGATGAATCAGTTTCTCATTTGGAGAAGGAAAGAAAGAAAGAAATGACGACCGCATAATAACAGCCTTTTACTTGCATAATAATTCAGCTTTTAGCAGAAGGTTAGTCAATTTTCATATAGCATTAGTAATTATCATACATAAAAACAAAAGTTAGGCGGCGATTGCCTGATCATACCATGTTTGCTTTTTCTTTTCTTTTCTTTTCTTTTTTTTTTTTTTTTGAATCATTTGACCAGGAAAAAAAATGTTGAAATGAATAGTCACCTTCCATATTGGATTAGTAGTACACAATTGCTTTTTTATTGACTTGTGCACTGCATTCATATGGTTTCTATAAACTCTTTTCCTAGATATAGTTATTTTTCTGCCTAAAAACAGATAATGGGTTCAAATTGTAATTCAAAAATTTCTCATGTGTGTGTGTGTGTGTGTGTGTGTGTATATATATATATATATATATATATGCCTGCAGAAAAATATAGATGTTCATTAATGTGTGTGATATATTAATATCAGTGATGTGATTATATTGCATGCAGGTTTCAAACTGGTTCATAAATGCCAGGGTCCGGTTGTGGAAACCCATGGTGGAGGAGATGTACCAACAAGAAACCAAAGAGGAAGACACATCAGAAGATAATATTACCAATAATAATAATAACAACAACAATAATAATAATAATCAAGAGATCAGATCAGAAAACAATAACAACAATAATGTGATTATAAGGAACAACCAAAACAATAGTGGGCAGCATCAGCAGCAGCAGCAGCAACAGCAGGCAGCAACAGCTCTCGCACAAACTCCAACGCCCAATGCTGCCGGTTCTACACCCGGGACAGCGTCCTCATCAGCCCCCACAGCAGCAATATCATCAGCGCCAGCAACAACTACTACGCCCACAGGCAAAAGATCCGATTTCAATGCGCTTGAAAACGACCCTTCAGTTGTAGCAATCAATAGACAATTACCCTTCTCGGAAAACCAAGCAATTAGGCTCGTCCACCACCACCACCACCACCACATGATTCCCACCACCATTTCCTCGCCGTCGGACCTGGTCGCGCCACCGGTTATTGACGACACGTGTCAGTTCGGGACCACACCCGGCAATAATCACAACAATGCTAATGTTACTGTTGCACCTGACAGTGGTGGCATTGGCTCTGCCCTCATAGGGTTCGGGACCACCACCGCCGGCGGTGGTGGCAGCGGTAGCGGTGATGTGTCGCTCACTCTCGGGCTACGACACCCCGGGAACATGCCGGAGAAGACTCCTACCACCACTGCTTCTTTCTCTGTAAGAGACTTTGGGAGCTGATTATTATGAATTTTTACGAAAGCTTTTTGAATTTTTTTTTTTTTTTTTTTTTTTTTTTTTTTTTTGTTATATACTTTCCTTCTTAACCTTTCATTCTATTGGAACAAAAGGGGAAAAAATTACGTTACGGTGACGTAGCATAATATTACAGTAGCTATAGTTAGCTGTATGGGGGATTATTGTAATTGTATAGTAGATTGTTTTTGCTTCGTCTTTTAATTTCTTTCTGTGTACTCTAGGTATTTTAATATACCTTAATAGGAATATTTGCTAGAATAATGTGCAAAATCATATTCATATGTAGACATTGTTGACTTAGAGAAAGGGACAGAGAGGGATAGATTTAATTAATTTGCACTTGATATATATACGTATATATATATATATATATATATACACACACATATATATGGAGGATGATACTTTACACGTGATTTCTATCTTGTTTAAATAATGAGAAAACCCTAGTGATCATGGGTTATTAATTTATCTCATACACGCTTTATGAATCTGATTTAATCTGATTAGAAGTAGATATATATATATATATACACACACATATATGTATATATATGTGAATGTCATTTTCCATATCAGTTAATCTGGAGGAATATTATTCAGTCTTAATATCATCAGCAGCTTCAGTGAAGTGATTATAAATTTTTCAGTGCTTATTTCTTTATTGTCTTCATGGATTTTTAGTCGTGTTAACATAAATATACAGATCTATTAAGATTATAAATCCACTCTATTTCAGAGATTAAGAAAATAATCCGTGTGGATGGCATGGCATTAAATTTTCATAATGAGCAATGAATTGAATTTGATCATTTCATTTCAGAATTATATACAAAGAGAAAAGAATATTAATAATGAGGAAAATTCCATTGCCTAAGAATTTGCGTCGTGTTTCTCAATTATTCCTTAAGAATACTATTCCCCAATATTAAAAAGAAAGGAACGTTTAACCTTATCAAATCGCCAACACATCGGCATCATGACAGTTGCAACAAAACCTCAAGGTTTAATTAGAACCTTGGTTTTAACATAGAATCCAATAACTAGTCCGAATATAAACAAATTATGATTGAAAAATAAATTCTCCATCACAAAATTCGCAGAAGCTTTACCTTTATTATTGCCCATCTCTCTCTAGAGTTGTAGCCATTATCATTTATATTCAAAGTATTTTCATATTTACCTGGTCAGTTTTATTAGTATATTATCTTTAGGAGAAAGGAGACAAATATTTTAGACTGTATGAGTCTAGATTTTTATCTCTTAGTATTAATTAATATTATTTTTAATCAAATAACTATATTAATCAAAAGAGTATTAATTAATAGTAAGAGATAAAAATCTAGCATTTAAAGTGCAAATGCAGAAATCTTCTCTTATCCCTTTTTTACATAAAATCATCCTTATTTCTCCACACTATCAGATTAATATAATAGTTGTGTATATATGATATATGTGCAATATCCGTACGTTTCTCTACAGCTTTGTTTCATTTCTTCTGCTATAAAAAGTTCTTGAATAAACCACTATCGTTTATAAGTATTAAGTGTATATAATTAAGATTCGGCATAGAAACACCAAGCAGAACCTTCATAAATTCATAAATTATAATTCATAAATTTCATGATTAACGTACGGATATTGCACATATAGAAACACCAAGCAGAACCTTCATATATTATAATTCATAAATTTCATGATTAATAAAAGAAGCAAGATGGGCTTTTATGTAGTTATCCACATTATATATATACAGAAGTAGTGAACCCTTGTTGTTAAATCACACTAGAAATCAATGCAAAACATGGTTCACGCCACTAAATCCCAACTTTCATAATCAATTATTGTTCCGCGTGTAGCAAACATATTAGTAGTTTACATATGAAAGTCTTAAAATAGTTGCCTTGATATACAAATATTTGATAAACTAGGAAATGGAAGTACTTTATAAAATAAATTTTATACTCGGACAGTGTGATATGGCGCAACTAATCATATATATATATATATATATATATATATACAGCGTCACACATATGTACTTTGGCAATATATGATCATGACTAGTCAATTGTACTATTGTTTCTTTGCTAATTAACAATCCTTGAAAGAGCAATACTTGGGTAGGTTTTAGTTAGTTTTGTTACCTTACATCCTAATTATGCCACACTACTGTTACTTAATATACAAAACAAATGGTTTAATTTGCAAAGCAACAGGTACTTCTTACCTAATATGTTGCTTTTGCTTTGAAAAACAGCATAACTAACTGAAGGCCATTTTGCTTACCAAAATTTGATTTACCAACTTGCTGTATATCCTCTAACAATGGCCATATATAAATCTCGAAAAAGAAAAGCTAAGTAAAAAATTGGGTTTGATCGGTTGAATATTAATTCAAGGCTATCATTTCATGTAAAGAAAGTTTTACAATATTATGTGAAAGAAATATATAGTTAGATAATATCAGTATATGTGATTTGATCTGACAGTAATTAAATGCTCATATATATCCTCTAACAATGGCCATATATAAATCTCGAAAAAGAAAAGATAAGTAAAAACGGCAATTGGGTTTGATCGGTTGAATATTAATTCAAGGCTATCATTTCATGTAAAGAAAAGTTTTACAATATTATGTGAAAGAAATATATAGTTAGATAATATCAGTATATATGTGATTTGATCTGACAGTAATTAAATGCTCATATATATCCACTCCATGTAAAACCAAACCCCATATGCTCAGTCATTATCTTTTCCTTTCATTTTTCTAGATAACAAGAAATGTCACTTTCAGCTTTGTGTTTACACTTACGAATATTTTGTACATATATGTGTGGTTTAAAGTGGAGTACCTCTATTGTGACCAGATATATATGTTTCATTTTTTGACTGAGAAGCCCAAGAAAATTATGAAATTCAAATATATTAAATATTAATTAAGGAACTAAATTCATTCAATAAATGGCAATAATTATTTGGACTCGGCACTCTCTAGCTTTTTGAGAAAATTGTTGAATTTAATTTAGAGTGAATGAGTCTAGATTTTTACCATATCTCTTAATTAATACACTTTTAATTAAAATAATTATTTAACTAAAAAAATATTAATTAAAAATAAAAAATTTAAATTTAAATTCATACGCTCTAAGAAGTTTTTATCTCATTTTCCCTAATTTTTTTTACTTTTTCCTTCTTCTCTACCTAACAACATGAGCCCATAGGCAAAATTGACCATTTACTATAACATGATTGATGTGTTTAAATATGCATGTCACCCTTCTCTATCCTTGACGTTTTATTATCATTAATTTTGTTCTCTTTCTAGTCCTTCACTCATAGGAAGGAGGATCGAGCACTGAAATCTACAATTCTACATGCAAAATGCGGCATTGACTGCATGCACATTTAATTCCTTGATGTAACCTATATACAACTATATAAATATAAATATAAATATGTATAAATCCTTGATGTAAGAGCATTCCCTGCTCGTAGTAGAAAAAAGAAAATGGAAAAAAAAAAAAAAAAGTAAGATTTGGCCTCATTGAACCAGCTGCAAAAGGGCAAAAAGAAAGCCCCCCAATCCCTGTAGTCCAATGAAGAGGGTTTTGTCTTCCAAAATTTTCTTTCGCATTGAATGTGACGTAAATGTTTGTTTTCTGGTGGGTATCCTTAGCCTGTAATATTGTTCATTGACAACTTGGCTGAGAGAGATATAATATATATACGCGTGTATATATATATATATATATATATATATTATAGGTGTCAATGACACCACTGGCCAATACAATATACTAGCAACAACCACTTGGGATTCTTAATTTTCAAATGGTTTATTTGTCTTGTTTTGGCCACATAGATTGCATATTCAATGCCAGAAACTGACGAAAATCTTATATGAGGGCCTTAAATAGTGTTTTAATTAAACAAGGCCCACTTGCCCACCCCGACCTCCATAACAATCAACAATAGATTTGAATTTTAAACAACGACTATAAAGTATATATCAACTTGGTATGGACCCTCCTATTTAAGCTATGTTTACATGTATATATATACATATATATGTAGATATATAGATATATAGGTATCTAATGTCCGATGCAACAGTCTAACCTCTAACAAGTGGACACTTAAATGTGGGCCCCCTAAGATATTATGGGCCTGGGCCATCATCTTCCTTGCAAACTTGTTTGTCACAAACAAATTATTGACATTGTATATGGGAGCATATATCTGATTTGGTACAGCCTTGAAGGGATTTTAACTTGGAATTTGGTGATTATACGTGAAAGTACTAGAAAATGCTAATAAGATTGTTTATTTTCAGCATTTGATCCGTATGATTTAGTGTCATGTGTCATGTTCCATGTGCGTTACATGAGAGAGCTTACACAAATTAATGATCAGAGATCGATGTAGGCACCTATAATATTAATTTCTAAGTGTCCATATCATTCCTTGTGGTATCATGTGCGTTTCTGTACGAGGATTTGTATAATTAAATTGATGATTGAGAAATTAGGAGCTGATTAGTTTATTAATTTGTCTTAGGCCACTCTATGCGAACTTGATATGTGTTTAACGGGAAAGATTTGAAGAACCATATATATGATTATCAGAGGTGCAAATTAAACAACACGCCAATATATAATAGAAGAAAATATATGTCTATATATCAAAAATCTATATATATATATATATATATCACCTTTCCAAAAAAAAAAAACTATATATATCAACCTTTATATAGTGCTACATAGAACAAAAGTAAACTGCTTGCGTTCATAAGAGTCATATAAGATTGTAAGGTACACACTATGCCGAGACACCAATTTTAAATATATATCCCAACCATTTTTTTTTAGTAGCAGATGTAAATTTTAACTGTTTATTTTATTTTCTCTTTAATAATATAATCGGGGGTGTCGACGTAAATGGATGTCCTGCTTCATTTTAATGCTATTAGCACTTCATCATTTACTTGAAATAATACTAACCTACGTTGTATTTAAATTGTTATTTTTTATTGATATTATTAGTGTTTAAACAATTGTTATAAATCAATTAATACTATACTAAACATTATATCTATTAATAAAAAATTGACAATTCACTATCACGTGATGAATTGGCATCAAAAAGTTAGGATTCGAAGTGTGCTACTACTATTTACATATTCATGGCATGGGAATAGTAATGTATAGCACTCAGTTTCGATTTGTTTTTTATGGTACCGGTTTAGTCTCTTTACTAAGTTC